CATGTCTAATAATGAGTATATATTCAAAAATCATACCACACCAAACACTATATTAAGCTGGGTATGGTAGTGTATACCTATACTATCAGCACTGGGAAGAAGGGACAAGGAGAGTTCCAGGACAAGCTAGTCTGGATACATAGCAATATACTGTCTCAAAAAAAACAAAAAACAAGATCTTTATTAAGACTTTATATAAATATTTCACCCAAGCCTCATTATAATTCATTATTATTGATGGGAAAATGAATGGATTCTACTTGAGAGGACTACTAAGAAACATAAAGTATATGTTTTAAGATAATAAAAGAACATAAAGCTGGGAGTTGGTGGCTTATGCCTGTAATCCTGGCTACTTAGGAGGCTGATGAGATCTGAGGATTGTGGTTGGAAGCAAACCCTGGCAGGAAAGTCCCTGAGACTTACTTTCCAAATCAATCACAGAAAAAGTGGGAACTGGAGCTGTGGATCAAGTGGTAGAATACTAGCCTTGAGCAAAAGGAGCTCAGAGACAATGCCCATGCCTGGATTTCAAGCCCTAGACTGGCAAAAAAAAAAAAGTGAAATAAATGTAAATATGTTAACTTTAAGATACCTTCTTTGACATTTATTTTATAGCCTATCTTCTTTTGCATTAATTTAAATTCTGATTATCTTTTGTGGCACAAGTCAGATACTTATATTCAATATACATTATGTAAATTGAACTACGTAGCTTGAGGGTAGAAATAAAGGAAAAATGAGTAAGAATGACGAAAAGGGTGACATTTGATCAACATGTATTGTATTCATAGTCGAACTTATGGAAGTGAAACCTCTTTATACAACTACTTAATAATAAAAGAAAGAGAAAGCAACTTTTCTTAAAAATACTTGGAGATGATCTTTCTCTTTTTCTACTTTCTGGAATTTAAATGCACAAGTATATGTCTATATATCCTACATTTCACAACCTTTGGAGTAGAAAAACTGCCGTATACCTAAAAGGGCAAAAAGTAGGAACTAAAAAATTCTCACCAAATGGTGATATTTGGTCATTTTATGCTTTTCACATATAAAAATTTCCTATTATGTGATTTAAAAATTGTTCTTTTAGGCATACTCGTAATTAATTTAGCAAATGTCATTAACTTGTAGCTAATAACAGTTCTCAACTAAATAATATTTCTCTTGACAGGAGAGAAATGGAAACATTTCATATAGCTATTTAATAAAACATTTAGTATCTCTCCTCCCTTCTGTACAGCCATCAATCCTTTAGTATTCCACAATGGCCTGGCACTTTGTGTGTGTGTGTGTGTGTGTGTGTGTGTGTGTGTGTGTGTGTGTGTGTATGTGTGTGTGTGTACATTTGGGAACATGTGGTTTTAAAAATATGCTATTATAGGTATGTCTTTATTTCATTCCATTTAAGATGCATATAATAGTGTTATTGAAGGAACAAAGATCCTAGTATTTCCTTTTAATTACATTGAGGATTTTAGAAAACTCTTTCCATGAGTTACACATATTGAATTGATCAATTAACCACCAAATATGTCAATAGTCCAGATTTCCTCCATTAAAAGGAATATACTGATTAATATTGTGTAATATTTTCAATATGCAACCTTGACTCAGTGTGGCCATCCCAAATAATAACATATGTAGGGCTTAAGTGTCTTCATGGTTTTTATATTGAAGCTAAAAAGTTTATTTGTAAATACTTTGTAACCTTAAGAATCTCAACAGTAATTTGCTTTATTGTGTTGCTACTCTCTACACACTAATAAATCTCCAAGCCTATTAAATCTATGAGATAAATTAAGTCTAAGATTAAGATGATATGGTTAATGTAATATACAATGGCATCACTGTTTGCACAAAGTTAATTTTCTTTTTCAGCAATAGTGCTCAACAGCTGAGGGTCTACTCACTTGTAAAGTGCTTAAGGCCCTGGGTTCCCCAGCACTGGAAAAAAGAGAAACAAAAGTACTAATTAAGAATCCGATACTTTCAGGACTTTCATGTTAATAAATATGCCATTAAGAAGATTTGAATGCCAAACTTTTGGGAGGAAAACACTGAATTTCTTATGCAATGTGCAACTATTTCTATATTGCTTCCAACTTTTATTTTGTATTCAAAGAATGAAAATATACAAACCACTAAGTATCTTGACAGTCAGAGTACAGGTTTATCATGTATGTGATACATGACTTACATTTCATTTAAATGCATACAACTATGTTCTAGGGTACATAGGCTTTCATTTATGGATACATCTACATACCTAGAAATAGCAACTTGATTGAAATAATGTTCTATAATGAAGATGCTCAGCAATTTTCATAATCACAATACTTTAAAAGCATGCATTTTATAATTTAAAATTGCAACGAAGTCACAAAATGAACAGATTCTAGTTTAATCTATTACCCATTTTGCTAGTGTACTAAAGCAATGATTCATATATTACTTTAATGTCAAATTCTTGACTAAAGTACAATACAAAACTCAATTTTCTACTGTGACTTCCTTGGAGGAAAAGTTGGAAAAAAGCCAACGAATCTTACATGAGTCTAAGCCATTCTGAAAGATATTTCAGGGAGAAAGAATAGTTCAAATTACCTAAGTGAAATTTAGTTAATTTGTTCTATTAAGATTTAAAACAGTGTAGAAAATATTTATTGTACTACACTAGCCAATTCTCTAACAGTAATTAAAGAGAAAAAAATGCTATCATTATGTCCAGGGCTAATTTTGAACATCAAGGACACAGCTCAGAAGGTTGGAATGTGAACCTACTACACTATAGAAACTGAAAAATAATATTCTCAACGAATAATAATTTCAAAATATTTCCTTTTAGTCATCAAGTATTTTGTCTCTAAGCCCTTATAATATTTTTCAACAAACACTATCAGATAGTGACTATACATTTCTTATTGCCTTGGTGCTTTTGAGAAGAGTGAAAAGCAATTCATTCTTCCACTCAAGAGAGTTAGGTGAAAGAAGACTGCAAAACTTATCTTTTTGTTGTTGTTGTTCTGGTTAAGCGATACTGAGAATAACACTGATAAGGTTTGAGTGAGCAGAGATGGTAAGTTCAAATAGAGGCGATTAGACAAAGATGGAATATGATACTCGTTTAAATGTGTGCGTGTGTGTACAGGAAGGAAAAACATTTTATTTTTAAAGTAGATGACAAGACGGATGATTTTTTTTAAACTTGGGTGAAGCAAGGAGGATTACCTTTAAACACTGCACATTACTCTGTGTTTTCCTTTTCTCTCTCTGTCTCTCTGTCTGAGTCTCTATCTCTCTGTTTCTCTGTCTGTGTGTCTGTCTCTCTCTGTGTGTGTTGGGAGGGGGGCATGTCCTTCCCCCACCCCCACAACCCGTTTTCCCCTCTGGAAAAGAAGGGCTGCCGGGTTAAAATACTACAAAGTGAATGTAAGTGCTACCGGCTTAGCATAGGTAGAGAGCGCAAACCTAAACCAGAAACACAGGTCTACTGAGCAAGAACCCCGCAAGGCCCGTGTGCACTGGCCGCACACCTGAGTCAAGCCCTTTGGGTGCAGCAGTGGGGATCCCCGGTATCTGAGACGGGGCGCACCGCAGGCACCCGGCTTCGTTCCCAAGCAGGGGACCCGCTGGGAGCCACTTTGGTCTTCCAGCGCGTGTGTCACTGCCCCGGGACCGGCACCGAGTCTGGTATGCAGTGGGCGCGGACACGAGCCGCTCAAATGTCCGCGGACTGGGGCGGGGGGGGGGGGTAGTTCGCCCCAACCTGTCCTCGCCGGGAGTGCTCACCCTCGCCCGCCCGCCCGCCCGGCCAGCCCGTTCCGGGGCCCTAGAGGGCCGCGGGACCCGGGATGGCTCGGTCGGGGCCTCAGGTGTAAGGGTGTCCTCACTTCTGCGGCAGTCATCGCTCTCCTGCCTCCACACGTCGCGGGAGCCGCCCGGCCCCACGCTGAAACAGCCGCGGTGACTGACGGCGTCACCGCCCCGTGCGCCCCAGTCGCCCCTACCTCCTCCTCCTCCTCCTCCTCCTCCACTCCCCTCCTCGCATCGATACGTCATGGAAACACGGACGTCAGAGGCCGGCCAGCCAATCACAGGCCGCGGCAAGAAGGAAAGGGCGAACTGGAGGGGGCGGGAGCAGGAGCGAGCCGAGGCGCTCCGGGAAGGAAGAGAGGGAGGGGCGCGAGTCCCCCCTCCACCCTCCTCCCGCCCCTCACACTGGCCACCCTTTCCCCTCCGCGCGGCTGCTTTTAATCGTCGGACACGCGCTCGCCAGACGGGAGCGCACTCGCTGGGTCCTCCCCTTAAACGCCCTCTGGGTGCAGCTCTGTTCTCAGTCACGGTCCAAGCTGCGCTGCCTTCGTGCCCGCGCGCGCGCGCTCTCGCCCGCCCTCAGGCTCCCCGCGGGCCGCGTCACGTGACCGCGCCCAGCCAAGGCGGCAGCGGCGGCCGCGCGAGCTTCGGCGGCGGCGGCGGCAGTGGCAGCGGCAGCGGCGGCGGGAGGCAGCTGCGCCGCCAGCGTGGAGCGGGAGGCGTGTGGGTGTGGAGAGACTGGAGCGCCAGACCGGAACGGGTGAGCGTCCTCCTCCTCCTCTCTGCCTAACCCGGGCAATCCCGAGGGCCACCCGGTGCAAGCGAGCTCCTCCCCGGAGCTTGCACGCAACCCCTCGTGCTCGGCCGTCTATTCCCGGGTCTCCTTCCCGAGTGGGCCGAGCTGGGGTGCACACGGACGCTGCGGTTGGGGTCGGAGTGGGGGAACGCGGAGCGGGCTGCACCCTCCAGCCCCCTGCCGCTGTGTACGGCGGCGTGAGGCCGGCGGAGCTGCCCGGACCGAGCGCGGCGCGCCCTGTGCGCGGCTCTGCGGGGCCGAGGAGGCGGGTCCTGCGGGGACGCGGGCGGCCACTCGGCGGCTGCCGGGCTCTGGGCGGGGGCCGGTTTGGGCGCCGCCTCCTCCTCCTTCCCCGCCGCCGCTGCCGCCGCCTCCTCGCGGTGCAGCGTGAGTAGGGAGCCTCGGCTGGTGGAAGCCGAGCCTCTGGGCTCTGCGGCCGCCTCATCCCCGAGGTGCATTCGCAGCTCCGCCGTGCGTCCCGAACCCTGCGAGCCGGCTGCAGACGCGCGGAGGACCGAGCCTGGTTCTTCCCGTTTCCTTCTGTCCCTCGCCGCCTCCCCACCCCGACCCTCTCGCTGCCTCCCTTTCCTCTCCCCCCCCCCTCGGAAAATGGTTCCCGCAGCTGGGCGAGGTGAGTGGTGGCCGCCGCCCGCCCTCCTGCCCGCCCGCAGCGGGGGCGGTCACCTGCGGGGAGGGAGGGGGGCGGGCGGATCGCCGGGTCCGGCCGCTGCGGCCAGGGTCCTGACAGGTGGGCGCTGGGCGGTTTGCGGTAGATCCGGGAGAAGTTGGCCGGGCGGGCACTGCGGGGGGCGGGGGGGGCGCACAGGTTGTCTCCTGGACCCCCGAGAGACTAAAGGTGAAGGAAGAGTCTTTGCCGTGCGCCTCAGCGCCAGGCCCTGGGCCGGGAGGGACGGGACTCAGTGGAGCTGAGTTGTCTACACCCGGGGCTCCTGTGACTTGGGAACCGCCTTGGCGGAGCCACAGCCCATCCTGCCACCAGTCGCCCCCACCCCGGCGCGTGGTGACCTTGAGGGCAGCAGTGCCCGATTCTCCCTCTCCCCGAGCCCCGGGAGGGTCACCCCTTTAATCCTCGGCTTTGGGCCCCCAAGACGCGCTGCGGGCGGGGGAGTGGGGGCCCCTTATCGGCCCCGGCCGGAGTGGTTTGATGGATGCGTGTCAGACCGGACGGTGACTCCCTGGGAGTTGCAAAGACGCCTCGCCTTTCTCCCCAGGTTTTCTCTCGGGGAGCCCCCCCAGGATGTTCGCGGGTTGTTTCCGATTCTTGTTTATGGACTTACTTGGACAGCAGAAAGATAAAATTTAAAAAAGCACGGGCGTCCCCACCTCCCGGAAAGGGTCAGCGGAGGAGGACGACATTCTAGTTCTGGGTGTGTGTGTGTGTGTTCGTGTTCCCTTTATTCCATCCTGCGGGAGAATCCTGTACAAAGCTAGTTAGCGACCCCTGGGTCTGCGCCTCAGTCACTCTCGAGATTCGTGTCTGTGCACATTTCATTCACCAGTTTTCTGCGGGACACGAAGCATTGGGAGTGCTCTTGCTGCTGCGGTGTTTGACGCCGCGTGGGAGGGCCGTGGGGTCCTCGGGATGCGCCAAGGAGAGTCTGCAAAGCTGCCCAGGGCTTGACCCTCCGTACTACGCTGATTTTTACCTCTCCCCTAGGTTCTAGCGCTGCTGACACCACCTTTGGCTGCTATGCACACCACTTGTCTCTTTTTCCCCCTCTGCCTTTATTAATAATCTAATGGCTCCTGTTGGTATCGATTGCTGTTCCTGATCAATTAGCCATATGGATTTTTTTTTCATACGTGTGTAGGTATATGCACTTGCCTGGACTGTCTGCCTTTCAACATGGAAGCCTTTGTTGTGTTTAACCTCCCCCACCTGAGGACAGTCTTATTTTAAAATAAGGCTCTTGCTCTGCGTGGGTGTATTTTATAATAAGAAGTACTTGTAAGGGCCTGGTTTGTATGAAGCTCTCATCAGACATCCCTTTTGGATGGTGGCCCATGTGAGTGAATGAAGGGCCTTCACTTGCTCTGCCACCCGTCTCCCCAAGGGATACTCCCTGCCCTTGTTTGTGGCAGGGGCGGATTGGGGGAATTAAGAGGGATTGGAGAAGAATCTGCTTTTTGTACTTGTGCACTTCATTTGATTTGGACCCCCTCCCCCCCTCTCCTTTTCTTTTTCCTCCTGATGAGTTCAAATTTGAAGATAATAAAAATATTTTTCTTATCGGGAGCCTTTGAAGGCAACTATATGAAATAGGGTGTTTTTTTTAGCTATAATTTCAGGGAGACGTTTTACTTTCTACCTTGCTTTGGATAAGACAGTTAAATTGCTGTAATTAAGTGTGGATCTCTGTCCTGATTTTGGCTTGGGTGTAACTGCAAAGATCTTTGAAAAGTAACTGTTATTTCCTACCATATAGTCTGCAAAAGTGAGTCACAGTCGGGTGAGTTAAGGACAGAGCGCCACCTTTAATTTAAAATTTTGTGATTTTTTTTTTCTTCTATTCAAATGGTGAAAATTTAGAATAAGCCTGCTTTATCACAGTTGTCATTACTGGCCTGCCCATTTAGAAGTATATGTGGAAGGATTGTCTTCATTTTTCTGTATTAATTTCTATTTGGAGAGGCATTTTTTGCATTTGCAGACGGAAGCGATGTTTTTAATATTGAAGCTTGGGAATTTATGTAGTATTCTGATATAATATGAGAAACTAGTTTTGATTGAGATTTGTACTAAATAGTAAGGATACTGGTAGCCTGGAATCTACTTAGAAAAGGAAGTAAGGAGAGTAATTGCTTCATTATAAAAGATGTTTAACATAGATGTTTAAAAGCCATTCTACATAATAGGGATATATTACCAGCATGGTAATGGCTTACAATTTTTTTTTAACCTACTGAACTATTAACAGATTCTAAAACAGTCAAAATTAGTAGAATTGTTAACCTTGCTTGGATAGATATAATAATTATTTTTTGTTACCCATCTTCCATCTCTTTGCCTTTTATGGTTTTATTAAGGGCTTACAATAGCTTTTTAAAAAATAACACAAATGAGCACTTTCGGCAAGAGTACTTATATTCAATGTTTAATGAAGACCATGTTGGGAAAAGTGGTTTCTGTGTTTGGCTCCTCTCAGATACATCTCTTAAAAATAATGGAGTTTTTCATGCTTCGAAAATAAATGATGCAATGACAGCTGAACTGGCAAGATTTCCCTCCTTTCTTCTTCCCCTCTCCTTCCTCCAAATTTAAGGTACACCATCTCTGGGCACAAGGTACTTCTTGACAACTGTACATAGAGCATGAGACTAAAAGAGTGAAGCTTACAAGTGATGAATAAATTAACATGTGGGTTTTCCTAAATACAGTTTTACTTACAAACTACAATATATTACTGTATTTTTATCTTATCTGCATTTGTTTTAATTCAACATTTGTGATTTCTTCAAACCACTGCAAAGCATTAGCTGTCATGTCTAGTAATTAACTTTTTATTAAACTAAGATTAAGCAAAAAAAAAATCTGTTTAAGATGGAAAATGGTTTATGCTTTTAGTGCTTCATGGCCTCTTTCAAGTTGTGGAATATGACCCTAGGTTAAAGGACGTTAGCTATCTAAGCTATTACGTTGACTCATGCAGAGTAATTATATATTATTCTATATACTTTGAGTAGAATCCTTTATTTGAGAGCTAAGTTTCCTGCCTTTTATTGACAAACATGTTAACCTCATTTTCGATGAGATTTCTTATCCTAGGAATTAAGTTTTAAAAGGAATTGTCACTTAAAACTTTTGTAATATTAAGCTAAAAAAGAGTGTCATTTTCCCCTTACATCTCAAACATACACAATAAACTGATTTTCCCATTTATTAATTCTGAAATTTTGTAATGGATGAGAAACAACAATTTAGAAACTATATATCAGGAAACAGAAACCTAAGACTTAAAATATTGTGTTTTTATAAAGTACTTGATCGGTTGGAAGAAATCTAGCAGGTATCTTAGAAAAAGTACTAGTAGCTTATTTGGGAATTCACAGATTCTGAGGTAACATTACAAAGAAAATGATCCATAATAGTTATGGGCATAACTTTCAAACAAAGTTTCTTTAGATTTTAGAAATATTATCTAAACACATCACATATGCTTGTCTTATTAAAAATTTTTCATAGCAGTTTTCAAACATGTAAGAGAATGACAACCTTAGTGACCAATTTTCTCAATGTAATTTCTTTAAATCAAGGCCAATGTAATTTCCTTAGATTTTCATTCTGGAAATAGATCTGTTATAAATGGGCAGATGGGACAAGTAACTGACTTGAATCCTTACATTTTTATGTTTGTAATTTAGAGAATATACCCAGTAGTATACAGTGTTTAACTGAATTTGAAATACAAGTTTTTTACATTCGTCATTGTTTATGCAACATATATTTTAACTTTTCTTCTGAGTGTGTTTTAAAGCAGGTACCTAAAGGTAGTGTCTTCCAAATTTTGCTATGTTAATAGTAATGCTTTATAATAGTGATATATACAGATTTTTTTTAAAAATTAAACTTACTATCTCTTGATTATCACAATAAATCACAGGAGAGGAATAACAAGACAGTTTATTGGTTATTTGTTTTTGTCTTTTTTCTCTTCCTATTATATATGTTTATGCAAATTTGTGACAGTTGTATAAGTTTATGAAAGATAAGCTTCTGATCAGAGTAAATTTAATAGTAAAATATAAACAGATTTGTCTAGCTTTAGCTCTTTCACTTATTCATTGCTTACGTTTGCTGTAATGTAAACAGTTTATCTTACTGAACAACTGAGTAAATGAACTTGAGCAAATTTAAAAACTGTATTCTTAATAATATGGAGTTTTTAAAGATCTATTGGACATTGAAATTACTAAGTTAAAAATACATGTGCTGGAAGTTTTTTCTTTTAATTTCTGTTTAATGTTTCAGTGTACTTGTTTTTCTGCCCTGTTTATTACTTTAAATCTCTTTGATATTAATCTGTTAGAGAATTAAATTTAACAGTTTAAATGGTCCCAAATGTGGGCATTTTGATTGCTGAAATCGAAAACTTTGTTACTAATTTCACAAGAAAGATTTTCCAGCACCAGTGCACATAAGAATACCTGAAGGTGGGCGTGGAATTGAACAAGCACATTCCTTGGTTTTGTCCCTGCAATTCTGATTCAGCAGATTTGGGGTGGGACTCAGTAGGCTGCATTTTGAAAAAGACCAATGTTGAATTTGTAAGTAAGTTAAAATTAATGTAGTAGAGATGCCTTTACAAATCAAGAAGACATAATTGCTTTATTTTGAATATAGTTCAAAGTTTATGCTTTTAAGTAGCTTTGACAGTTGTAGCAGATTTGGAGGGTGGATTAGGGACAATTAAAAAACAGATAAAAATAATTTTGTTACATATTCTTATTTCAGGAGTTCTATTTGTTACTAAAAAGTACTATAAACTTACAGAATATTCTTTTTATTTCCATCTCCTAATGTCTCCAGCCTCCACAGCATGTACACTTGTTTTCATAAAAATAATGCACGTGTGTCATAACTACTATGTATTTAGGCTTTAGGCTAGTTTT